AAAAAAGCACGTTTCACACGGTGAGCTTCAAAGCGATTAATGTTTGAAGAAATGAGAAGAATTTATTGACTATGGGAAATCGTGAAAAATGGGGCAAGTTTGCTCTGAATGATTATAACTGTTTATGAATTTTGTTGCTTTAACTTTTGCCTCAAACACATGAACCATGTTCCTTTCCAGCGAAGCTGCAAGTTTTATAACTAAATTGTCCTGTTTTATTTAAGAAAGAAACTTAAGATGAAAGGCGAACAAATTGATTTGAAGGCGGAACTGAAGTTAGCGAACAATTAACAATTTGAACTTATTATGTTTACGGCAAATGTAGTTTTAATACTTGAATGTTTTATGAAGCGTTTCAAAATAAATTTTACATTAATTAAATCAAAACTCACAAAAGCAGTATAACATACCTCAGTCAGTATATATTTCGGAATTTCATTGTTGTATAACTAAAAGTCCTAATCTTTCAACTATATTGCCGTTTTGTACAAAAAAATATAAAACACTTGAACGCAGGCCTGCGTTCAGTATTGGCCATTTTGGAATACTCAATGTTAATTCAATGCGTTTGGAAAATATAGGGGAGGGGTTGCTGCATACATGTATTTCTAGTATACTATTACCTTTGAGGCAACCACGGAAGTCAACCCTCATACATGTATAACCATAATATTTCTTCGGATGAATGCGGATGTGCTTTGTAAGAATGACGGGAGAAAGACTATTACTAACAATGCCGTTCCTATTACGGTTGCCATCAAAAACCTGAAAGATAGTAAAGTCTGTAAATGAAGCTGAATAATTATTGTTAAGTGAAGAAGTTCTCGGTTTGCATTAAAAACACGAAAGGCAGGCACTTAAAGAGCAGTTATTAGAAGCTTTACCGAAACCACGATCGAAATTGTTCCTGATATCATGATAATCATATCAATGGCATTGAAAAACACCCGTCATGGTTCACAGCGAATACCGCAAACCTCCGACTATAACCCCTGGGCTTATATTCTTTGGTACCGGTAAGCGAATTTTGATGGGCTTATACAAGGGGGTGGGCTTGTATACGGGGGAGGCTTATACATGGACGATCTTTTGCGTTAGTTTAATAGTCATAAACCAATATAGTAGTAGTGATTTACAAGTGGAAAAACAAGCATAGTAATAATAGCGATTAAATAGTGGTAATATAAACAAGTGGGTTTATATTTACAGGTGCATATATTCAGGGGGCTTTATATTTGGAATGAGGTAGAGCTAACGTACATGTGGTGGCCTTATACACGGGGGGCTCATATTCGGGGGGGGGGGCTTATATTCGGAGGTTTACGGTAACCTAACACTTAATACTGAGGAAACCGATTATTTTTAATTTATATGAAAGAACTCCACACATTGGAATCGAATCAGAATTCACAATAAGGATTGGGGCAAAGAAAAAGTGCACTAAATGCACAAGAGGATTGGGATTCACAATTGATGAAAAATTGAATATGTTTGGTGAAAAGGACATTTTGATAATTCAGTTAAATTTGCCGCGATTTTAGATCCGATAACTCGTTTACTCATTCGTGCATCACAAGGAGAAAATGGCACTAAAAATCACGGCAAAAGTGATTTTTAATTCTCGTGAAATGGTTCACTTTTTACATGTGAAAGGTGAAATGGCTACCTTTCTTCAAGTGAAACGTGATCAGACCCCTCCTCGATTATTTAACTTTTCCATCCACATTTGCAGGGGTAACATGCTCTTGCACTGGCCGTAAAATGTATATATCATTTCCAGAAATAATCGATCACTAGTAATTCATACCTTCACCACTCCATTCACGCGATAGTCAAAGAAATTCAGACCATCGTTGCTGTATGATACAGTATATTTCGTCACCCACTGGTTGTGACGGAAGCGACCTTGAGTTAAGATATCAGTTACAGTAGCCTGGAGTACGAAATTAACTTCAAGCCATTGCTTCAAATCATTGTGTCCACACCAAGCGCCTACTCGGCTGCCTTGACCTCGGAAGTTCAGTCTTGCGTTCACTGCTCCATGGTGCACATTAACTTCTGATGAAGCTGATAATTGGGAGTCAGGTATATCGCCATTTTCCATACCAAGGCTTACTGGTTTTTTGCATTCTAAAGCAAATAAGGTCCTATGTCAGTCATTGATGTTCGGTAAAATGAAAAGATAATGGGAAATAAAATTCATTAAAATGCATAGAGGTTTAGTCAGTATATGGAGGAGATGAGGGGTGGGTGAGTTTATAGATGGAGTAATTTCTTTTTCACACTTGTTGCTCCATTCTTTGGTTTCGGTTGTTTTGAATTCTGGAAAATATTCTAGTATAACTCATATATAGTTTTCGTCGGGAAATAAAATTACAAGGCAAATAAAATTACACATTTACAAAACGAAAAAATTCTGTGACGTCAACATCCAATAAACTTAATGAATCACAATGAGGGTTTCTGTTTTGTTATGGAACATGCTGGATTTTGTTTAATGTACCAACTATAAAACAATAATTAATCACGGCAAGAAATCACGAACATGATTATTCTACTTCCTGGCTAATTTTCTTAATGTGAATGCATAACTTGTTGAAATAGTCTTTGTGGTAAACAGCAAATTATATTACGCGAAGCTGTAAATCGCAAATTCAGAGAATACGGTAGATCCTTTCCAATTTGCTTGATTTACTGGTTTCAGAACATGGTTTGTAGAAATATTTAGTCAGTAATGTTTGGCTAGTGTAGGTTACTTTTAATTCTGCATCTCCATGTTCCCTAATGCCAGCAGTGGTGTCACAGAGTATACAGAGGCGGAACTCGCCGCGATTCCTTTGTTCTTTGTGTCTCCGTGCCACGTCATTTCCATGCGCCACGAAAATTGCTCTGGCAAGTGTCATTCGTCGTGTTTTCAGTCAAAAGCATAGGAAAAACACCGTTCGAATGTAGAGAAATGAATATTTTTGCGAAGTTGCTCCACCGATCTTCATTTTGGGATTCAAATATGAAAGATAAATGGTAATTGGTTATTTTTACGTAAAAAGATTTACGTTTTTAGGCTAAATACGAAGAAAAAATAGTATAAACTTTGTACAGCATGACCATATATTACAAATATCTCGGTGCTTGTGATGTTCTGCCAAGAAGCAGATTCCCATTTCGCTAAATTAATGGCCAAACGTATTCCTTTCCCGTCTTTTACATTAATAAGAAAGCATGGGTGCTGATTTGAAACACTTCCATTGCACACTTCCATCAGGTTCCATATAGTTTTGGGATTTGTGAGCAAAAATTAAAAGTTAAACTACCTATGTTTTTAACTTTCTGTGCAACTGTTAAGCACATTCACAAATGTATTCTCCATCAAAGAAACGTTTCTTTAGGGATTGTTAATCCGCCTGCACTGCTTATGCCTTCAAAGGTCGTAGATCTTGAACATGCAGAATAGCAGAGACTACTGTCATTGACATCCTTTGTCACAAAATTATGATGGCATAATGGACAGCTATGTGGGATAAGGCACTTCCTTAATAAATAGCCCGACACATAAGTTAATGCATTCATGTAGACTAAGTTTTGTTCAATTTCATTTGTTTTGTAGTCGGTATCTTTGACTTCTTGGATTAGTGGTGGGCTTGTCTGATAATTTCCTGCAGATAAATCAGATGGGCTAAGGTGAAAATATGCAATCAAATAGGCATCAGAATCTTCAGCACAGTTGCTAGATAAAGCGGTATCAAAATATTATCTACAAATGATTTGCAAAATGCTCAGGTAAACTTGATGGGACTAATGGGTTGTCACAATTTCCCCCCTGCTGCCTAATGAAGCCAAAGAAGTTCTTCAGAGGATCTTGGTTGAGACGTCTTGTCATGAGAAACTCCAAGGAATTATGTTGGTTAAATTAAGGTCTTCTAATGTAAATACTACAGTGTAATTACTACTGACAATGTAAATACTACAGTGAAATGTAAATACTACAGTGAACTGTAAATACTACAGTGTAATTGGGGTTTAAAAATACAAAGTTTATTTTAATAAATGTTGTTTATTTATTATTTCACATTTATATACATTTAAGAACTTAAATTATTCAAAAACTAAATAAATATGTGTTCAATGTCAATGAATATTGCTATATATTCTAAATAATGTCTAATAACTCACTCCAAAATAGGCAATAACTGTTTCCTTTATAGTTGACCCCACATGCTGTCATGAAAATTAATACTAAATAAAAAAGTAGCTTTTTATATAAAAAGTTAAATACTATGAATAATTGCATTCAATTGATAAAGAGTTTCCCATTAAAAGAGAAAGTATTCCCAATTCATCCTTTCCCTGTTAAAGTGCGCTCTCCCCTTAACGAGTAAAATCGTCTGGCATTAGACAGAGTAAAATAATATGGCATTAGACAGAGTAAAATAATAAAGTACGGTGCTTTAGGGCACAATGCAACTCAATGGGTTAACTGGATCGTCTGGTGTTAGACAGAGTAAAATAATAAAGTAGGGCGCAATGCGACTCAGTGGGTTAACAAGTAAAAATTGTCTCGCTTTACAGTACATCTTCCAAGAGGGGCTGGATTTGGGGAGCAGGCCCACCCCTTTTAATTGCATGGGGGGGGGGGGTGAGGGCTGCTTTTCTTGAACCCTCAAATAAACTATTACCGTAATCTGAAGGTATAGATAGATAGATCGAGACTTTATTTAAAGAGAGTGACACTTAATAGTACGAAGTACTAATGAACTTGTGGCCCTCATAAGGCCTGTTTATATGTTCTCCATGTGGCAAGGCAAAATTATATTCATATCCTATTATAGCAACTGCCATGCAAGTGTTTGTATGGAAAGTTTTGAACTTGTTTTGCCTAGTGGGATGATCAAGGTAGTAGGGTCACTCCCCCAGGGGGTATAGCATCTCTATTACTCAAGATTAATTATTAAACATTGCTCAAGGCTATGTAAAATTGGTAGATATTCCAATAAGATCAAATAGTCTCAGGTTTCTCCAATCAGATGAACAAATTAACATAGTTGTAAGATTTTGCATCTGATTCATTGTAATGAATAATGTAGTTCCACAGGAATGATTGGCAATCTAAAAAAGCAAAAAATAAAATAAATAAACAGATTAGATTATTAATTAAACATGTCCAGTGACTTGGCATGTCTGAGAAATTGACCTTTGAGAGCCAAAAAATACCATTGCACAATAACCAATGCACTATAAATCTAGGGGAATCACTATAAAGTATAATTTGACCAATCCCCCACCATTGGGTCAACATATAAGTTATATAAAGTCTATATGACTGGGGCTCCATGTCCATGACTCTATCAGTCCATGTTGAATGTTGATGTTCATTTTCGCATCTGAATCCTGTTTATGCAATGTTAAATTAACGACAACCCTTTGATAAAACATTGCACTTCACAAAAATATATTGATAATTTGATATATATGAGCTAGATAAAAAAACTCACTTATAAAGTTGCCAAGTTCCAGCTGGAGTTCAGGTCTACAGAATCGAATCTTCAGATTGCCAGAAATCTCATGCACTCCTTCGGGTGATTTTTTTCATTTTCGCCGTTAAAAAAGGTATTCGTTCAATTCCCTTTTGCTAAGAAGACGCAATGTGCCATTTATTTGCAAAATTCGTGCAGAAAATGAAGATTGATCGGTTACTGCGCTTAAAATCGCCGTTTTACTGCCAAAATTTTGCATTTCCCTATCTTTTTCCTGATAAAAAATGTGTATGACACTTGCCAGAGGTTCGCGCATGCGCATTAAAAAAGTGGGGACATGATTTGCCTCGAGTTCCGCCTCTGTATATCTATACTCTGTGGTGGTGTAGAACTGAAGTAATAACAAAGACAGCTCTTAAAGGGGACGGGGTGACAATGAGGATTATAAAGCGTGGAGGAAGCAACATAATCAACATAACAGGTGGAAAATTTGTCGTCGCTGACCAAAAAAACTCGGGCAGAAACACAGATAGATTGTATTTACATTCAAAACTAAGCAAAAAAATTAGCAAGGAGCTGTTTTAGCTGACGATTTTTAGCTTTCCATTCAACGATTTACATGAAATCTTTGTTTTAGGATGATTTTTTTCTAACAAGTGATTGGAAGAAGTGAATATGGCGACGTGAACATGCAAGCAAATACTTAGCTATGGCTTGCTTAAAACCGTAATAAACAAAGAAAAACGTGATATGAGAATGAAATGTAAGTTGAAATGTATTTTATATGCCTCAAATTTTCCATCATATGTTTCTTAATGTACAGGTTTCAGCCATCGAAGTTCAAAATACAAGCTCCCGAACAGGGACGTGGCGAAGCCATAAACATTGGGGGAGGGGGGACGGAAGGTGTCGTCATGTTTTGACCAACATTTCCAAATAGGATTTTGACCAAGTCGTACAAATTTTTCCCTAAAATGTTGTCGACGCGAGGGTGGGGGGAGGAATAAAAGTTTTCCGGACTAACATAGGCATAGTCAAAAAAATTTTCAGGACTAACATAAACATACTCAAAAAATATTTTTTCGGACTAACATAAGCATATTCAAAATTTTTCGACCTAGATAAGCAAGGCTTCCAATTTTTTCACCGCAAACATAACAAAAGCTTTAAAATTGTTAAAATTGCGAACCATTTCATAACTTTGACCCACTTCAACCATCTTATATTCCAAACTTTTACTAAATTTTTCCGAGTTTTACCTTCAACTTTAAGCAAATATCAGTTTCATTTTGACCAACTTTGATCAACGTTTGAATTATTGGAGGGTGTTACACCCCCCCCCCACACACACACAACCACCCCCCCTCTATAGCGACGTCCCTGCTCCCGAAATTTGACAAATTTTGAAAATATGTGAAAATAGCTTGACTTGAATTGTATTTTCTTAAAAATAGCCCGTGGCCTCAATTTCAAATATAGCTAAATGAAAAGAAAAAACCTTTCGGCGTTTGTACGTATGAAACATATCGTCAGGAAAATAGGAGCTCACAATGTATTAGCTAAGTCTTTGAGATCCAGTTGCTTCGCACGTGTTGTGGTCAAATTTTTGCCAAGAATCAAAGACCGAAAAGTGAACTTCCTTCATGAAAACCGCCTCGAGAAGGATCTAGTTTGAAAATTTAGCTCTTTATTTCCATTTCATGGGCATATTTTGGTTACACGTTAAATATTTTTGTACTTGATGAGATTCAAAATTTATTGTGTATTCAAGCCCGGCTTTAGTGTAATTTTGGCGACGACCAGAAAAGAAAAGAAAAGAAGATATTGTAAAAACTGGCCGTGGCCTCACGATAAAACTTTCTAAAAATGTTCTTTGTTCCATGTATTTTTATTTGATATCTTAGTTATAAGCGTAAAAATAGGGGCTCATACAGTTTACCAGGTTATAAAATGCATGACTTGTCTCTTTTTTCATGTAAACATTCGAAATGTTTCGACAGCGAAGTAGCAACTGTTTCTGATCGAATGCACACGGACAGAACACCAACGGCAATGGCAGAGTACTGAAATAAAACGTCACTAAAAATTTCTGTATCATTAATTTAGATCATGTCCATTTTCAACATAAAACAGTCATTTATTTTGTACCAAACATTTGGCAATATTTACACAATTGCGCAATTACGTGACTCATGTTGCTCGTGCATGCTCAGACAAATTTCCCACCTGTTGATCAACATGGATAGTTTCACTATTTAATTTTGGTTCTACTAATTCTTCTTGAGTGTATAGCCACACCGCGGGCAAGCTTGAAAAATATGCCTAGTCATGGTGGGACCTACAACCTTTGGAACACTAGCCCAATGCTAATCAATTGAACCTACAACCTTTGAAATACAAGCCCAATGCTATGCCAACTGAGCTACGCGGTCAGGTCGGTTCGAGTATGTGATATTTCGGAACACAGTCTAGTTCCTTCGACATCGATGTAATCTATAACCTGAAGTTCAGGCCCTAATCACAGAATAGGGCCTGACACAAAACCTATCTAAACTGTGGGATTCCCGTCCATCTGGTGGACGGCAAATCTGATTTGTTGATCAGCATCATGAAGGATTTTGATTGGTTGCAAGTTCACATAAACAACAGTTTTAAAAATAGCTCGGTCAAGGGCTTAAGGCGACAATTAATATAAAGGTCAAACGCACGTAACAAATTCCATAATCGATTTCTTTTCTTTTATGCTTTATGGCAGAAAATAAATCAAACAAACAGTATTTTGAAAGGGCTTTATCAAAATCTTGGACGAATTTTGAACACACGACGCTGAAAGAACAGCCAAACTAGTCATGTATTCGAAAGCTTGTTGTTGACAGCCAAGATGTTCTGCCAACTGGCTTCGCCAGCAAAAGTCTTATTTTTAATATCAGGTCCTACCGGCGTTGTTTTCTGAGCTACATCGCCTTCTTCGTGGTACGATTGAGAATTTCATTGTTGCTGTTGTTAGCCCGTTAGTCGTTAGAGTATATCCGCGTCCAGCAAGTTGAGACCTTGAGAAAGCTTGGCAGTCAAGCCGTGCACAGAACCGACTAATTAAATATATTTGTTTGCTGTTCGGTTAAATAGAGAAACTGACTCTTAATTATATAAAAGTACCTTGAATTTTTAAGTTTAATTAAAAAGCAAAATGCACACTCTGCGGACATGTTCATGAGAATATAAATTTTTTGTGTAACGAAATCTACAACACTTGTCAATCATATTGCATGTTGTGTCTAAAAATAACATGTGGGCGTCCCACGGCATTTTTCTGTGATGGTGTAATGTACTCAGGTGAATATGATGCCTGTGATGTTACTCTGAGTGTATATCCACACCGCGGGCAAGCTTGAAAAATATGCCTGGCCATGTTGGGAATCAAACCTACGACCTTTGGAATACTAGCCCAATGCTCTGCCAACTGAGCTACGCGGACAGGTCGGTTCGTGATATTTTGGAACTAGACTCTGTTGCGAAATATGACATACTCGAATCGACCTGTCCGCGTAGCTGAGTTGTCAGAACATTGGGCTAGTATTTCAAAGGTCGTAGGTTCGATTCCCACCGTGGCCATGCAAGCATATTTTTTAAGCTTGGCCGCGATGTGGATCAGTGGCGTAACGTTATATCAGGGGACCCCAGTTCAAAATTTTCGAAGCCCCTCCCCCCCCCCTAGTAGAAGTGCCAAAGGCACGAATTGAGCGCCGTATTTACATGAGTTCTAGGGGGTCTAGAACATGCTCACCCGGGAAATTTTGAATGTAGAACTTCTGAAATGCCATTTCCTGGACTTTCTGATCCTGGGGGTCCCGATGCATTTGGCACATTTGGGTTGAGGGCTCCCGGGTTCGCCCGGTCCAACCCATAGTAGTTACGCCACTGGTGTGGATATACACTCAGAGTAACATTATAAGCATCACAAGCATCAATTCTTCAATTATTGTTTCTTGAAGAAAGGACTTATCGACTTATCTTCAAATAAAAGAAATGCTCCAAGTTATGATTATGCAACCCGCAAAAATATTGGGATACCAGCCTCCCAAATCGGGATGAAATTGTTAATGAAGGGGGCTTAGCCCCCCCAGACTTGTCTTCAGCACACCTGAGTGGCATATTATAGAGTTCAATAGGTGGTGTGTATTATTATATAGAATTAGATAGATGAACGATGTAAAAACTAACCTCTGTACAAATATTGAAAATGCAGAAAAAGCAGTATATGAAATGAGCCTAACATCACATTATATGTCTCGACAGACTTTGTTTTGCAGCCAAGGATTGAGGCAAGTTGCAAACGACCTAAACTATTCTCGGATTTTGCAATTAACTACGTCGCGTTATATAATTCACTGTTTACTGTTGAAGCCATGTTTCAACGTGATATGCAAATTACGAAGGAAGTCGAATAATTTTAGTTCGTGATTGCTGGCCATGATGCCAATGATCTAATCTAACCCTCAAACGAGGAAAATAATATACATTTCGAGTACCTGTTTCTTCACATTTTTCCCCATAATACCCTGCAAGACATGAACAATGGGCTTGTCCTCCAATATCGCTACATTTTCCTTCGTTTTGACAGGGTTCCTCTGCGCATGGCTGGCCTGAAATGGTAGTGCTTTATTGATTAGACATCAGTAGAATATTTTGTAATTTTATACTCTGTCTCATTTACACACTCGGAAATGTTTTCGTATAAAATCCAAGCATTAATTCTTTAATCTTTTTTACGAGCTAAGAGCTCCATACCCTGCGAACAAAGTCCTCTCGTATTTCT